AAAGGAATACTAGAGATCACCGAGTCCAACCCCCTGCTAAAGCAGTCCCTACAGCAGGTCACACAGGAAGGCATCCCGTGAGATCTTGAGTATCTCCGGAGGAGAATCTATAACCTCTCTGAGCAGCTATTCCAGTATTCCATCACTCTCACAGTAAAGTTCTTTGTTGTGTTAATATGGAACTCCCTGTTTCCCATTTTCTGCTCATTGCCCCTTGTTCTGTTGCTGCTCACTGCCAAAAAGAACCTGCCATCAGCTTGACTCCACTTTAGATATTTGTAAACAGTGATGAGATTCCCCCCATCTTCTCTTCAGATGGAAGAGCCCCAGGTATCTTCAGGACAAGAGAGTGCAGCGTAGGGCTTTGCAATATTATCATAACAGATAATGTATGGTAACGTTAAAACTCTAGTAGCTAAGTTTAGTGGGTTTTTACAGTTTGGTTTTTTAAATAATGGCTTGTTTATGTGAATAGTTAGAATCATAGAATCATGAGTTGGAAGGGACTTCTAAAGGCCATCAAGTCCAGCCCTCGGCAAGGAACAGAGATACCTAAACCACATAATGATGCTTAGAGCCTTGTCCAGCCTGACCTTGGGTGTTTCCAGGAACAGGGCTACCACCACTTCTCTGGGCAGCCTGTGCCACTTCTAGCTTAGTTGTTGCAGAACTGCTCAGCCAAGCAACTGCTGAGTAGAATGTGTGTTCCCTGCCCTTAGGGCTGAAGCAAGCCAGCTGATTTCTGCATATACTTAATAGAAAAGAAGCTTTCCTAGTGTTTGCAGAAATAATCATTATTTCTCAGGAGATCAGGTTGTAGAATAAACTGAAACCACTTCTTCCTTCTGGCGTTTCTCCTACTGCCGGTGGGCATGGCCACACTTCTCCAGCACTAAGGTTCAATGACAGCCAGTATGATGCCAAATGTGAAGGTCACTGGCTGTAGGTTTTTTAATTGATCACCAACGGTCACATAATGTTTAAGTCAATGTGTTGCAGAGCTATCACTGGCAATTAAGGCTTCTGCGAAAGCTAACATAAAACCAATAATTTGGAATTTTTTCAAAAGCTAAAAATGCATATATATTTTGGCTGATGGAAGTTATTTCAGGATTAGGAACTGCTACATTCATTTGCCCAAACAAGGAGTTAGGGAAGAGATAGATGTATTTCTAAGCCATAGCACAAGTTCCTAACAATGTAAATGCCTTCTTCTCCCCATCCTGCTAATAGGTTTGCGGATAACTGACATAACTTTTGTTTATCGGGGAGAAAGAAAAACTGGAGAAGCTTATGTGCAGTTTGCAGCTCCAGAAATGGTAGCTAAAGCCCTACTAAGGCATAAGGAGTACATGGAGAATAGGTAGGTGCTTTGCTATGGTTTAGAGGGTAGAAGAACTTGGTATAAAGCATGCGGTGTGACTTATAGCTTGCCTCTCAGCGTAATATCAGCTGCTTTGCCTGTTATCTCATACTCAGATTTAGTTTTTCTTTGTGTTTGTCCCCCTGCCCATGTTAAGCCACTGCTCTGCAGGTATACCCAGTAATTCAGTGACCTGACGTATTTTCCTACCCTCCAATAGGGATTAATTAATTCACATTTTGCCATTATTATTTTCTTTTTTGTTGTGATGGAACATGGAACAAGGCTTTAATTGACTCACCTACCCAGCTTCATATACCTGAGTAACTACTGAAGAAACTATTTCCAAAGTTTCCAAAACTGCTGCCAACATTTTTTGTCATTTGTCCAGAAAAGTTATTTGTGCTGAGCCCAGGTGCATGGATGCTGAGCTGTGAGCTCAGTCAGGCTGTACATGAGATTATTTCCCTTACTGTGTCTGCTCTTGCTGAGAAGAGAGGAAATATGGATAGCCACATTCCCCCCTTCTCCGTGGCATTATTTCTTCTCTTCTGTGGAAATGTCTGACTAAACACCGAATAGTTACACCTATGTGAGGCCCAGCTGGTACTGTTGCCAGCTCTGAAACATTGGAGGGTCTGAGTAAGGGGCTCTGGCATAGATGGCTAGAGATAGAAGTACAACTTTATACTTTCACTAAACTTGGGAATAGGATGTTTTTTCCCAACTATTTCTTTCTGCAGCATAAGTGGGATTTTGCTAGATTTTTCATAACATTGCATTACATCTTGGTGTATTTCTTCTGCAACTTTTACGCACACCTTACTACGTTTCATCCTACCAATTTCATAGCAGTAAAATCTTAGGCTCCCCTGAAGTATTCAGTATGGGCCTATGCATCTTGTGTATCTGCTTGCTTAGTTAGTCTGCTTTGGGATTGAGTCATATAGATATATATAGATTTTTTTTATTATTTTTTTTTAACTGAAGGTTGGAGCGATAAGCAGTTTGCAGAAGTACATTGGGGGAAAAGAGACTCCTTTATAAGGCTGTTCAAAAGGCTGCATGCTACTGCAGGAAAGAGAATGTCTTTAAGTAGTGCTGCATTTCTGCAGCAAAACATAGCTTTGGCATGTAAGCAATTGATGTTACTCCTGAAAGAATTTCATGTAACACCAATCACTAAAGATCTTGTCAGAACAAACTGGCTCACAGCACGTGGGTTTATACATGAGATTGAGTGCCTCATTACACACTGAAAAGCGATTTCGTAGATGTTACTGTACAATCTAAATAAGTTCTTCAAAACTACTGCTTGCCAGTTAACCCCAAGTTGTAACTACACACCATCTGTGGCTCTCACAGAAAATATGTGAGCAGAGCTGAGACGGGAAAACACTGTGCACAGTAATTGTACTGTTTCAAATGCCTGAGTTCTTTGTGGAAGTACAGGGAGTGCCATGTAATTGTTTCCTTGTAATCCTAGATATATAGAAGTATATATAAGTACAAAGCGTGAAATGCAGAGGCATTTGACTCTTCGCAAGGAGATGATAAGACTGAGAAGAGAGCTTGGATCCACTGCGGAAGAAAGGGAGTCGGATTCCACCAGAGGCTCCAGTGCCGAAAGAGAGAAGGGTGAGCCTGGCCCTGTAGCATGCGTGTGTTCTTTGAGGCACCGTCGCTGTCTGCTGCTGAGAGCACAACCCTGCTGTCACAACCTTCATGTAAGGAAAGCGATAATTGTAGGTGTTAATGATGTTTCTCCTCCCTTCCACAGAAGTGGCTAGCGAAGCAGCAGAAAGCTCAGGGCCTTCTTCGCAATCTGGGAGCATCTTATCATCACTACGCACCGTCCACGTGAGGGGCTTTCCTACACAAGTTAGCGCCCAAGACATAATAGATGTAAGTAGCAGTAAAAGTATGCATCAAATTTAGCTGTTGGCTGTGCATCGACTTCACCTGGAAGGGGAGGGAGTCTTGTGTTTCTCATGTGCTCAGTTCCCATGGCTGGATGTGGGTTATGAGCAAAAACATGAGTTTTTCTGGTAATGGAGTGTATTCTTTTTGATTCTTTCTCACCACATTCACCTTTTGGATCCCTGTTTTTCCTTCTTTTCAGTTTTTTGCTCCTCTGAGGCCCAGAAGGATCCTATTAGAATACAACTCCGATGGAGTTGCCACAGGCGAAGCTGACGTGCATTTTGAGAGCTATGATGATGCGGTTGCTGCAATGGCTAAGGAGAGGGCACAGCTGCGTAAGTAAAGAGGAAAGGAGTTCCACAACTCTAAGACGTAGATCCTCAGGTACTTTGGCCCTTCTTGTCTAGCTACTGGTAGTACCCTGTGCAACAGGATTGTTTGAAAACCAGATTTCCAGATATCCTATCTGCAAGTCTCTGGTTGCAAAATACCTTTCCCGTGTTGTTCCCTAGAGTTTGGTGCTGTTGAAGTATTCCCAAAGGAACATCCAAAGGCTGCAGGACACCACTAGTGACAGCGGCGAGATCTCAGATTTGGTGAGTGCATCCTTCTTTTCAATTGTTCCTTTTTCATTGTTAGTATACTTCATACTTTGAATTTCAAATAGCATCTGGGCTGTTATTTAGAGCAAGTGGCTTAAGCTGATCATCACAGCTAATCTGAGGTGAGGCATCAAGCCTAAGGCACACAGGCCTGTGCATTCAGATTACACAAAAACAACTTTTTGTGGCAGAGGGGTAGCAGTGCATGTCTGAGGTGACGGCCAGAGCTGGCAGAGGTTGCTGCACTACACAGTCACCACACCACCTCCCTGGGACTCACCCTGGCACAGCTGAGGCCTGCTGGAATGTGCCAGAATGCTTTTTCCACTTGCATTTTCCTCTTCCCTTTGCAGCTGTGCTAGTTTTCACCTGTTAGAATTTCTGATGTGGCTGCAGTCTCTAGCATGGAAGTAGAAGAGTAGCATCCAGAACTGCTTCTGGCTCCCCTCTGTGTATGACTTACTTCAGCTGCACGTAGCAGTTCTCTCTCACAGGCTGTTTGCATCTTATCCTTTTGGGTGACATTTTTTGAAAAATGCTAAATCCTACAATTGCAGTATTGTCAGCAATACTTTGAAATAAAATGCAGTGGTGCATTTTCAGAAAAAGAGAATAATAAGCTGCAATGAAGTAGTGATGGTTTCTCTCTTTTTTTCCCCCTACTTTCTTCATAGGTCAAAGTGAACGCATTCCTAGGGTACAAGCAAAGATGGAGTATGAGAGTTGCTGCTCAATTACAAGGATAAGCTGCATAAAATACCATTTGGATTTATGTAACAGCATGTAATAAAGCGTGTTGATACATCATAGAAAGACTGTCTGTCACAGAGGTAGAAAAAGCTGTTTTGGAGGAATGGCAAATGCTGCGGGACAAAGCAGTTCTAGTCTTAAGCTGCACAGTGCTAACAAAGTATTATTAACAAAACACCAGTGTGGACAACTAACAACAATCAAGTGGTCTAAGATCCCAATACACAGAAGGCAGCAAACATAGCTTATTCCTTGTTCCTGCTGCCATGTATCTTTAATTTCTTTGGCATCTGCTACTGGTTTTGAAACACTTTCATAGCCATAGCCAAAGCAGAAGGGAAAGACCACTCAGGACACAGGAGCCAGATGAGAAAGTTTTTATTACTACATGTGGAACAAAATTAATACCAGAAAAACTGCTATCTGCTCCCCCCACTCCAAATGTCCAGGTATAAAACCAAAAATTCAGCATTACCACCAGTATGTGAGCAAATGTGCCTTGAACATTTGCAGCATCATAAAGCACAACAACCAGTACTTAAAAGCAGAGCCCTTCACTGAGTCAAAGAAATCAGGAAGAAGTTGTGTGTGAACACAGATAGCTGACATCATCATCTCACACCTTTTCAAATGCCAGTTTTAATTACATCAACCAGAGCCCTATTTTGAAGGATTTTCAGCTGCCTCTGTAAAGGGCTGTTTGCATATTGTAACTGTAAAGGACCTGCTTGAGAACTGTTCTGCTTTAAAGATAAGCAGAATAAAGAATAAAGACATAAAGATCATTTTAGCCTTCACTTCAAAGCAAGAATTGCAGCAGCCACTCCTGCTGAACAGTGGGAAGTCATGTAGAGGTCGCAGATAAGCTGTCACTTCAGAGCTGTGAAATTGCTCGGATGTACCAGCATTAAAGTTACTTCACAGTAAGTGCCTGGTTTCCAGTTAAATCCTTCAGCACTGAAATTGCCTGGGTCAGACTTTCTCCTGCAGAATGGGTCTCTCTGGATTTGGATGCAGGAATTTGCAATCTCTTAAGTGTGTACCAGTGTGTACACAAAACTTACAAATTTGGTATCTTGTGCCTTAGCTATGGCATCTCACCCTGTGAAAGCAGTGTTTGCCTACACTTGAATTCTACGCTTCTCAAATTTCAACACCACTCACAATTTCTTGCCTACTTTAAAGGATAGCAGCAAGGTAACTACCACAAAGGGCAGAAAAAGGAAAACTCTGAAGCTTGCTCCCCTTTGTTTAGTGCTCTGTCTATGAAGGGCAATGAGAGGAGGTGGAGCACTTGGACAGCTGAATACACTGAGGCCTGCAAGGAACTAGGAAAGAAAAATTTCTGGGACAAACTAACTCCAGCACCAACCATGTGAAAAACCCCAACTCTGATATACTTTTTAGTGCAGTTCCAGCCAGTCTAATGAATTCCTCTGAGGAATTACACAAATTTTATTAGGGGATAGTAGCTTAGAGCCAGATGCCTTTGTCACTTATAAATACATCAATTTTCTATAGTTTACAAAACATCCTGTGGCCCTGAAGTCTGAAGTAGGCTTCCAGTATCAGATAGAGCAAATAAACTGACGTGAAGCATATGTGCTTTATGAGGAAGTCACCAATACTTTTGGAGTAACGTGTCCTTGAAGTCACAGCAACAAAGATTGATGTAGCACAAAGTATGAAAACTTTTAAAACTGTTTTACATCAGGATATATCTTAAAGGTGAAAAGCACTGTTGAGTTCATCTCACTTTCATTTTGATCTAATGCAAAACCAGTGAAATACCAGCTGTATTAAAATCACTTTTTTATGTACACAAAGGAGAGAGGTGCGAAGACGTGGCCTTAAACCCTCTGTGCAATGGTAATTTGTAACTAAACCGTTGGAACTCCTATTCCCCCAGAGCATCAAGATAGAGGTTCTGTAGCTCTTTGGATTGGCCACCATTTTGTGGTCACGAAGTCACAGTGAGGGTCTCCAGTAGGAAGATCAGAGATGCCTTTAAACATTTGTGTGCTGGATCAGTGTGGATCAGTTCTCCAACGTCACACACACCAAAAAAGAAAATCTTAGCCCTCTCTGAAGTCCCTAAAAATAAAGGATCATTTCACAGCTTTGTTTGATAATGATTTGCATAGCAAGCTTACTGCTGAAGGACTGGATCAAAGAACAGTGTCAGAAAATGCTTTTTTTTGTTGTCGTTGGTATTGTTACCTGGATTCCTGGCACTGAAGGAGCACAGTTGAGCCAGATTGTCAAAGACAGCAGGAAAAGGGGAAATGGTGTTTCAAGTGCAGCCAGACATGAGGATTAGAAAATGCTCTCATTTTGCTTTTAGTGAGCCATTGCTTAGCAGCAGCATGCCCTCACTTGACATGCTCCTGCCTTGCACACACAGACACATGGCTCTTTCTTGGGTGGGGGCTCTGTTCTTGCAGCATCCTAAGGCTGCCTGATCACGCCTTACGGCCACTTGGTGTGACATTCCTCAAGCAGTTCTCCTCAGCACAAGCCCAGGTCAGAGAGCTGGCAGATTTTTGTAGAGGGGAAGCTCAGGGTGTTCTGTTTGCAGTCTCTTGACTACAACAGCATAAAGCTGCTTTCCCCCTCCAAACAACACAGGTAAGCGTCTTCAAATTCCCCTTGAACAACTCCAGAGACAATCACCTGCTACAACAATTTATGGTCTCACCACACTCTGCAGCCTGCCTCCTACAAGGGACTGTTGGAATACTGCTGGATGAGTTGCTTGTGACAGGGATTGCAGACACGCTCTGGGTTAATACTGGACGGGAGGGGCAGCTCGTGTGCTGAACAGGCTTCACAGAAGATACCACCACAGTTCTTGCAGATATTCTGGAGGAAGAGTACAGAAAAATTACAAGATACTAAAGACACAGGTCAAAAAAACAAACTCGAGTTTTCTCTCTATAACCTTCAGTTAACTCAAATCCTCTACTAGACAAGAGAAAGATGCCCTGAAGACCAGAAACTTGTCCTTGTGCTCAGGACCAGGCTACCATGGAGCTCATTATGTCAAAGAGTAGGTGAAGACTTGTAGTAAAGGTAGATAGGAGTTACCAAAAATGAAGCATTCAAGTTTTAATTGCTTCAGACCAGTTGCAGCTAGAGCATTTTGTCACAAGTGATGCACATTTATTTTATAGCCATATAAATATACTGGACAGACCAGTCACCACTCTGAAAGCTCCCTAGCCAGGTGACCTTGCTGTGCTCCCTTACTTCCTCCTAGATATTTCCAGGGGCTATTTGGAAACATGGTACTGGTCCATCTCTATGCAAGAGTGGAGGTCAGAGCCCTGCATGCCAGAAGCTGGCCTCACTCACACTGCCTGGAAGGAGCAGTTTGTCCCCAGCTTCCCAGCAAAGCCCTCTGGTTCAAATCTTGGTAGGTGAGGTAAACCAGGGGAAAATACAACCAAATGACACCTGCTTCCTCATCTCTTAAGTACGCAACAACAGTGAGACCAGAACGTTCACTGCACTGATAACAGTTTTTAAGAGTGCCTTGACTGTTTCCTTACAAACTGCTCCTCAGCATCAATGAAGGAAAGCGGAGCTGCTTGCTTCTAATCGATCTCAGAGACTGCACGGGAAAACACCTTGACCATCTCATTAAGAATATAAATAAAAGGAAATGCACATTCACCACACAGCTGAGATGACAGTGTAAATCCTTGGAGTTACCTTTTTCTTGCTTCGGCTGCTTTCTTCCTGGCAGAGCTGGCAGATCTGAGCATTTCCAGGTCCTGATGGCTGCTGTTCCTGAACCCACAATAAAAGCCAACACATTCTGCTTTATTTGCCTGCTTTCCATGGCTTTGGTAGCAAAGCTCTGTGGATGAGCCTTATTTTATAACAGGGATGAAGACTTCACACTGTTGTGTTTTTAAGCCCTCCCTTTTACACAGTGCACCAGGAAGCCACACAGGACTAACACATTTATTTGCAGGACAGCTGCACTAAAATCTGAAGTAATAGTGGTATTACCTTTTGCTGTCCCTCACTAAAAAGCTTAGAAGTAACCAAAATCAACTAAGAGGCTGAGTCCTAAAAAGTCACCCTCTCCTCTTCAGCACTCAGCCCAGCTGGCAAACCTGAGTTCCAAGGGTGGACCAAGAAGCACGGTACAGCTCTGCAAGCCACGCACTATGCAGCTTTGTTTACAGACCTACGCAGAGATTACTGGGCCCAGCAGCAAGGCAGGGACTGTGGGGAACAAAATCTCTTTTTTCACCAGGAATAACTGGTGATGATGGTAGAAATTCCTGGTAGATGGGACTAAATGTGCATTGTAGCATCCTGTTGAGAGTTGGTGGCTCTAGCCAGGCTTTGCCAGGCACCCAAGGGAGAAAGAGCACGCTTGGGTCAATTTGACATACACAGAAGCAGCCAACCAAACACAAACAAATAACTCTTCCCCTGTAGGCTCCAAAGGAACTTGCAAAACCCTAACCCAGACCAAGGATGTTACACACTGCCATTTTCACAAAATACAAAAGTATGCCTTCCTTGTTCTTTTTCAAGACACTAACCCAGAAAAGGCATGGGGCAAAGGAATTACAAAAGGATTTAATATTAGTTCAAAAATAACACACTTTTGTTGAGGGAATGAAATAGACTCGCATAAATGCAGCGCTGACAACTAAAAGCCTTTCTACTGAGATAAGCAGCACTGTAGTGACCCAGGAGCTCCCCCAGCACACTCACTAGTATTTGAATGCAAGAAAAGGCATCACCAACCTGCTCCTCCTGAGTGCTGCTCTGTAACCTACAAGAGAAAACCATCATTAGTTTGAGCCAGTGCCTCAATCACACTGCTACTTATGAGAAAAACACAGGGACTATGTATCAAAGGACCCTTCATCCTGTTATTAAAATCCTACCTGCGCTCATTTCTGGTTTTATTTCTTCAAAACCACACTGCCAAGCCTGCTCACACATGAGAGCTGAAGCACATATAAGCTTCATCAAACAGGAAAGCAAAGAGGCAGCAGTGACTGGTGCTCTAGAATGAATATTGCCAGCTGAGGCAGCACACTCTTGGCTAAATAGAAATGCTTGTAAAATGACTTCAGAAGAGAAGAAAAAAGGGGAGCATGAATGTGGAAAAAGCAATTTAGACAGCACACACAGTTTAGAAGTAGCTTTGAAGTTATGACTGCAAGATGTTTGATCCTCTAGATCTGGGAACAGAGAATGGTTATGTTCTGTTGTTACGAAGACTTCCAGACAAATGGGCAGACCAATGTTCATAGCTTACACACTGTGAGACAGGTGCAAAAAGCACAAGACTGGAAGGTATTTAATGGCCAAATAAAAAGACCTGAATAGAGCTTATGATATTTTTAAGACAATATTTTTCCAATCACCATTTTATCAGCATTCAGCACACTGTCAGAGCAGGGCACATTGTCACTGGCATTGAGAGTAGTTCAGAAAAGCTGTCTCTAAGCAACACCCTCATTACAGAGTTCTTCCCTATTTGTCTTTAAACGTATCTTCACATTCAAAACCAAATCTTCATCTTACCTTCCAAATGCCAAACAAATCCTATCACAACAATCTGAAAATGTGGAGAGGTTTTAACAATGGGGCAGGAGGCTGAAATGCTTTCTTAGCCAGGGAAATCATGCTATTCCAGAATTCCCATCCAGCAATAAAGAAATCAGAGAAGGAGGAGCAAGAATCAGAAACAGAGAAGACAAAAATGAGATGCACTTTCTTCCATACTTATGTGGCAGGACACTGTTTTCCTCTCTCGGGGGCTGTTTCAGTTTGGCATTTTCCTCTTGGATTTTGAGCTTCCCATCCTACCAAAAAGGATTTACCGGTCAGTCAAACGATGTTAGCATGCTAACAAAGAGTTCACCTTTGCCACACTGCTGACACTGCAGAGGGAGAATTGAGTTTTGTACTTGGAGAACACTGATCACACTGTCCCCCCCTTGGCATGGGCATACAAAAGCATAATGCACCCCAGGAGCAGCTCTGTATTTTATTTTTGCTATGAAGAAAAGTTGATTTCAAGTTTCAAAGCTGGATTCTTAATCATGTCCAATGGTTTCCTTTTACTAGAGGACAAGAAACTTCAGTCACTTTCTAAAGTTATTAGTTTGTATAGACTGATCAGGGCAACAAATCCTCTCAGCAAGGAAAGAAAAATCCTCCCTTCCACTCCCCAGCTAAGAACTGGGTCATAGCCTGAGCCAGGCAGGTACATAAGAACACTTGGAAACACAACCAGGTCAAAAATAGTCTGCAGCCTACATGTCAAGTGCTGGCAGTTACCAATGCATGCACAGTTCTGGTGTTACAACTATAATCTCAGTGAAGCCCTTACATTCTCAAAAATGCAAACTTCCATTGGACCTAGAACCATTTACAAGTTTTGTGGCAAAAGAAAAATCTGTTATGAAACCCCTTTTTCTTTTTTTTTTTTTTTTTTTTTTTTTTGCACATTGCCCCATCTGCTCCCAGCAGGATCATCCTTGCTGAGTAAAGGAGGCAAACTTCACTTCTGTATTTGGAGAATACTGATCTCACTGTTCCCCCCTCGCCATCAGCCACTTCCACACCCAGTGACACACTGTCAAACAAGCAGCAGAAAAAAGCAGCTAGTTATCATGATGTGTACGTAACTTCGCTGAACACTGGGTAGGGAAAAGGGAAAAAGAAACAAAAACAGAAAGGAATGGTTAAAGCAGCCCAGGGGAGTCCAGTAAAGGCAAGTCTCAAGTGCTGCAATGTACATCAGAATTTTGGAAGCCACCTCTGCTATTTCACAGTTCTCAAATTTATGAGTATTGCTCTCCTAAACAACTGCCAGTTCCCAGCAAAAGAGCCTCTTTCAGTTTACAGAAAAAGCTGTAGGGCAGATTTTCACTTTCAAAGGCAAATGACTTCTAAAAAGGGAGTTTCACTTGGGGACTATCAATCTTACTCATGACATTACCACTTCACTTTCTTTTTTTCTTTTAACACAATCAATGTGCTAATGCATTAAAAGCACTGCAAGTGACTTGTGATGCCCTCAAAAGATCATTTTGTTTTCCAAATTGCATTGCTTTTCCAGGAGAATCTCCCTTTTTATGACACAAAAATCACAAGTGAGCAAGGTTGCTTTTCTTTAGATGAGGTGCCTTATGCTTGGTTTTATTAAACTATTGAAGGAACTCACCACCACAGGCAAGATTTGGTCAGGTACCCAGCCTGAATGAGGAAATCTGTTCTGCAGTTCAGCGTAATGCTTATAATCTTTTTTTTTTTTTTTAAAGCTCAACCAAATGACTATTTGACGTGTGCAAAAAATGTTCCAAAACTCATCTTGTTCTGACAAATTAACAATACGTATTTAATATCTAGTAAAGCTCAGGAAGAGAGAACAAAGTGAAACCATAACCAAAATATAAACCAAGAAGAAAAAAAAGACATATTACCGGTTTTAACCAATTCTTTGGGCCTTTTTTGCTTCCTTGGCTGCTTTGGTGACTGTGCGACCATCTCTCTCTTTCCCGCTTCAGTTCGATTTCAAGGTGGCTCCTGTAATATCAAGGTGGAACTGTGAATAAAGTTAATAACACTCAACATCAGGAGCCACTACATTATTAAAACTATTTAACATTCTCTTTACCCTAAAGCAATTGAAGCCTAATTCTAGAGCTAAAAAATGCTTCTCAATAAAAAGTTGTTTAATGTGCATTAAAGCTACAAAATGCCAGGATGGAGGATCTGAATGTTTTTAATCTAATTCTAGCACCACTTCGGGGAAAATAAACCTGACAAATAAGTCTGTGCATCCCTACAAAACACCAAGCTATGAGCACATCTGAGGCCCCTTGCACAACCTGAAGAAAAGAATGACAAAATTCAGCTATTGGTAGCAGACCCTTTACTCTGAGGCACCAGAAAGCTCCACTGCTGCACTGCCAAAACAACTCAGTTTTCTGAAGTCCTTAGCAGTGAAGTGAACAGAAATGCCATAGCTACTTAGGGTACAACACTTGCTCTAAAATCAAAAGCTTGGAACTGGTAAATGTACTGGCAAGGCTGACACCATAAAAGATTCAGAGTCCTCATTTCCATTAAGTACAAATGTATCTCTCCATTATTAACCTCATTAGTCTCAATACAGCTCCAACAGATTATTAAATAACTCATTTGATCGCAGTCTCATTAACTATATAGCCTAACTGAAGTGAGCAAAGCTGGTGGAAACTTAGATCTCTAAATGAGGCCTCCTCCAAGTGGGCATTCAAAAACAAATCAGTTGCTTATAATTTGATTAAAAACAACCTAAAACACACAAAGCCTCATATCTTCTTAAAGGAACACAATTCAAGCAGCACTACTCACCACTATCTGTCAACTCAGTGCATTAGAATCTCACTTACATCAGTAACAGCCCCTAATAAAGTAGGCACAGTTATTTTCATGCTGCCACTTCAATTTAGCATAAGGAAGACAGTTATCAGAAAAAAATGAATTGATGCAAAAAACCCCACCACTTCGACAGCTACACTAATTCAGTAAAACTGAAGACATAGTGCTAGATGCACATACAGATAAAACGCATTCCCCACCTACACCTAGTGCTATCACTAAGCTCACCCACACACACCAGGGATGTGGAACAGATTTCTGATAAAAGCCATTTGCTGGCTTTGTGAGTGGCCTCTGTAGCTTTGAGAAACAGGAGACAAAAGCAGATGTGCCAGGATGTTAGACTGAAAAAAAAAAAAAAGAAAAAAAGAAAAAAAAAGAGAAAAAAGCACCCAGTAACACATCCACACTGTTCACTTCAGCAACCTTGTTGCAGAACAGAAGACACCTTATGTCTGCAGACAGAGAAGCGCTGTGCCTCTTTAAGATAAGAAGACTTCTCTGTTTTCCCAGCATTGATAAGCAGGAAAAGACGGACAGTTCTTGCTAAGATCCCTGCATTTCACTTCCACCTTTTTAGTTGTCACTGGCAAAATTCCTATTGGATTCAACTAGAAAAATCTTGGCAGTTTGTCAGACCAGCACCCAGGATTGCTTCCCTTGCTCCTTAACTCTTAAACATCGGCTCTAGGCAAAGACTTCTTCGAGCTACATCCTTGATGACAAGCAGCCAACAAATCATCTGCTTCAGGCTCAAGGTTACGTTATTTCATGACAAGTCTGGCATAATGCTAGATTTTGGAGAAGTTTGTACAGCAGAGGCCTTACAGCACTCCAAAGCACATATCCAAGATAACTTGAGATCCCTAGAGTGAGTTAACTCGCAACGGCACCTCCGGGCAAATGAAGAATCAACCAAGCTTCTTCCCAAACAGGTTTTGGATCACTTATGGTGGTGATCTCCATCCTTCTGCATCTCTAGCACTGTCAATTCCCAAAGAAACGGTTATGGGCAGATGCCCAAACCATAGCAAATATGCATGGAAATTTCCACGTTTGAAGGGAACACCTTGACATTTCATTTCTATTCAAGAGATGTTCTGCAGCCTGTTTCTGATAACTCATTCCTATACAGATTCGTACCTTTGCTCGTGGCTTCTGCTGACCTCTCATTTCTTTTGCATTTCTTTCCCATCAGATTTTTCAAGTTCCAATTTCAAAAGCCTTACTACCTCTCAAAGCATTCTACCTCCCTAGCTTTAACACCATCTGGCGCATAAAACGCCATTCATCTCCTTCCAGCCCCTTCCTCATTTTGGGACCGACCCGCCTGGTTTCTTCTAGACACAGGAAGAACAGCCCAGAAAATAAATGAGAAAAAGATCTCTTCACCGCTGCCTGGAGAGCTCTTCCACTTCTAGCTGGAGGCTGTTGATTTTGTCCCCAAACTCCTGCTTGAAGAGACGGTTGTCCTGCTGTGCCAACTGACGGTCTTTCTCCGCCTGCCGCAATCTGGATTTGAGCCACATGAACTTGTGATAAAAAACAAAAGCCATGGTGGGGAGGAAGACCGACTTTAACCAACAAATAAAAAAACCCAGTGAAAAGGTAAAGCCAAAAAAAGGGATGGTAAAAACAATGGGAAGGGGGAAAATATTTTAAAGAAAAGTAAAATGTAGGTGAACCAGGCAGAAGCTCCGATTTTCAATTTTTCTTTTTTATTCTATTACTACAGTTTACAGCCATTAGATGAAAAACATAAAACATCACTTTTATCCAGATTCAAAGCAAACCTGAAGTACACAAAATTTTAAGTCAAATTTGATTTTAATGTACGTTACATCTCAGCTTTACACATGTAGCTGGAACTTGCAACATAGGTTAGCTAATAGAATTAGTGCATCTTCCTGGTCTCTTCCACTGACTGTCACACTGATTCAAGTGCCTGGGCATTAAGACACCAAAGCTTCTGTGCTTTGGGCCTGACATCAAACTGTCAGATGCTTAATTCTGTCTTATTTTAGCATTGTTGTGACAGCAAACAAAATGAGCCCAAATCCCAATTTCTATAGAAGAAATGTGAGGAAAGAGGCAGGGGTGTTAACTGTTCTAACTAGCTATTTGGATACCTTGATGAAAGCTTTCGCCATTTTTTTCCCCCCAAATAGTTTAAATGCATTCCTAGTGAAAGATTACAGAAGGTTAAGTCTATACTCTCAAGCATGAGGCTTGGGCATCACTAGAAGATTTAAATCCAGTCTCCAAGTCTGCTCATGTGCAGGAGTCCATTAAACAAGCTAAGCAGTGGAACACGCTTGTGCGTAGGAGGACTAGGCCGAGCCTCAAAGATTCGTAAATATATCTAGTGAGAATTAGTAGATATTTTTTTCCCAGTTGTATTTCAGTCACATCTGCTGTCTGCTGCCCCCAGGAAGCACTATCCAACAAGATAAATGGGGAACTGGCACCAAACAATTTCTGTAAGTGTCTCACCTGAGCAAAAAACTCTCGATTTTACTCAGAAAAACCCCAACCATTATTCTCTTGAAAGAAAAAAAAATCTCTAGGAGCATTTCTAATGTAAAGCCTGTAACAGTCCTGCACCTTGAGTTTCTGTGGCTACAGGGAAGAGGACATTAAATTTATAATTGTCCACACTACAGTTGCTTAATGTTTTGCACTAGAGTGTTAAGATGACAACTACTTTTCCCATTCTGAGATGTTTCCAAGCTTCAGTTGTTCTTTCGTCTTTCATCAGCAAATTCCATATTTGAGTAGTGGAAACATAGAAGCAAATGAAAGAAGTTTAATAGTAAAAGGCAACTCTTCTTTTAAGCCACCAACTACTCAGATTAGGAGCAGTCAAGTACGAAATTACCATTTCCACTCCCCAGCACTGCACTTTTTTTTGTTTATTTGTTTGCTTTAAACACTAGAGTATAAAGATCAGATTTTTTGTTGTTGTTGTAAAACATGTAACTTCCCATTCTAGAAAGAGGAGAGACCTATCAAAACACCCCTCCTCAGCTTCCTTCAGTAAGGAAGAACAGCAACATATGTCTAGAGGGATTCATGGCAGAGGTAGAAGGCAATGCAAAGATAAGGAGGTTTTCACTGAACTTACTACTCTATCATGTTACTCTAAGACACCTAACTACTAATTTTGGACACATGAATTTTAAAGGAATAAGGAAAGTCCCCCCCCCGTTCCCCCACCAAGTCACTAAGGCAAAATCATTGCAAGCAGTCCTGGTTACAAGAGGGCTGATCTTCGTGGTGATGAGCTACTGGCCGTGCCCATCTGTCTTAAGACCTGGGGCTGAGCCCACAGAACAGAAGTGAATGGGTAACGGCTTGGGGTACGCACACAACTACTTTCAACAACTTCCAGGGATGCATTTGCTCCTCTAATTCACAAAAGGGGTAACACAGAAAACTAGTTGACTTTCCAGAGCTGGCCAATGCAATATTGACTTGACCAACGCACCTAGTATCCATACATGTTGAAGACTTGTGCTGCTGTATACGGCATGCATCACCAGGATGTACAGAGCCACATTCCTTATGCTTTTCTGGTGTTTATTGGCCAACTCGCTGGTATTTTAACACAGTTTAAATGGCAAAGTTAGGGATTTTTATATCCAACTAAATCTCTGAAGAAAAACTCACTAGTTTTAAAAATTCAGCAAAATCCAAATCAACTTTAGGTGACAATTAACATTTTAACAGTTGATCTTAGCAATTCTAAAGTTCTCCTCTCGTGAGTTCTGATGTCAGAGCTGTGAGGTGACCAGACACAAAAATGTCTAATGATGCTTTTGGATCAGTTTGTTTGCTGCACTGTTTAAGGTTTTTGCCTGTTTCACCAAATCCTTTTCACTGTGTAAGTAAGTTAGAATGAGGATGAAGAGGAAATGGAAAAATAAGAACAGCAAGAGAAAAAGAGCATATCAATTAGCTGAGAAGATATAATGCATCATAAAATACAAATTTTCTACAAACAAACTGACCTATGTCATTAAGAATCATTCAAAATGCAAACCTTAAAAATGAGAACATTTACTTAATGAATAGTTTAATGCACTAAATTAATTTCAGACCCATCTTGCTGAGACCTAAGCCTTCCCTTGGTTTGGCTTGGAGCTACCACTGCAGTCAAGGTAATTCACAGAGACTGAAGACTTTGGCCAAATAAGAAAAAAGGGAAAAAGGAGCACTGCTCCTCACATCAATTCAACTTCACTGCTGAAGCCATCCAAATTATGTGATATAGTAACACCAAAGCAACAGAGACATTAGGATGGGACTTGTCTCAGACCAAATAGATGTTATACTTACAGGATATTTTTACCAGCTTCTACAGACAATCAGCCTGTTCCTTGACTTATTTTCATGTGAGATTTTTTTTTCCCCCCCAAGCATATCTTCCTCAGAAACTATAGGGACCTGATCATTTGCCTGCTCTTAAAACAAATGATTCAAAATTTGGGGTACTTTTTTCAAAATGGTACCAAAAAGATCCAGAATAATCATGCATCTTTAGAATAATTTCTGTTTTACCTTTCTCCTCCCTGCTCCCACTGCAATAGTCATTAATAGTCAAGCACTTCTTTAGATGCTTATCAGCGTGCTCACTATCAGAGATAGTAATTGACTTATAATGACTGAATAACATACAAATATGCAGCTGACAGATAAACAAAGCTGCTGTGTTAATTACTGTTTTAGTAGTATATTCCTTTTTTAATGGAAGCTCCCCTTGAACATGCAAAACACTTCACACCATGCCACAAAATTATTGCTCAGACTGAATCCTGTTCTCTTTGTGTTTCTCTGTTTAGCAGTGTCTTAGCAGCACAGTAAGGTTCTCATCTTGTCTATGGAGTTCAGTGCGACACTATCACTAGTATAAACACTATTATCATAATTGCAGAAGTTTCATTTTTTACCTTTGTTCAAGCTGTTTGATGGTAGCAGCCATCTGATTTGTTTTTTCTTCTAAACGGCTATTCAGTTCACTCTTCTGTTTCACTCCCATGTCTGAACTCTACAAAAAGTAGCAATGTGTTTTATGTAAGTATCAGTAAAACCACAGTAAGCAAGAACAAATCATGTGGCAAATGGCTAGTCATAGACAGAAGCCATTAAGACAGAAGGTGCTCAGAAAGTAAATGCCACGTCAATTTAGCATCCTGCCCTACAGGTGCAGGCTACATTTGGACCTCACAGAATGTCAATATTATAATCAGATCTGCTTCCTGTAAGTGGTGGTAATGCAGTAACTGTTAACGCCCCTACAACGTTTCGCATGGAACAATTGGCTCAAGGAGACAGAAGCAACATTTTTCTGTTCTACAATTTATGATTTGTTTCCATGCACTGTGTGCTACTCTGTGTCCTAAAGAGTCTGCTTTCCTCATTATGTAGTAATGTATAAGTAATATATGTAATATATTTCAAATAAGGCAGTAATGGTTCAGTATCTACATCATAAAAACCAGAAGATACTTTCCTCACTGAAACACGCACATTTCTGAATTACCATCAGTCTTTCTCCACAACAAATAGCATTTTCTTTCAGCTCCCCAAAAGGGACAATTGCTTAAAATGCTACAGCTTCCTGTTTGGCCCCTCAGTAGCTCATGCCCTCTTTACCAAACTTTTAACAGTACCACTAGGAGTACAGAGCACTGCCATAGCCTAGAAAGCAGCCTGACCCAAACCCCCATGAGAAAACTCTCTGTATGGGAAGTACTGAATCACAGCCTGAACCTCTGATCGATCACCTGAGGGAAGCACTGAGTCAGCCGTGGGAGCACAGGTGAAGGCAGTTCAGCTGTGTGGCCGGAAGGAGTGGAGCCAGGCTGCACCTCTCCTAGACCCATTAAGGGCTGACTGCCACTGAGGAAGGATCTCTCTCCGGGGATTGCCCCTCTTGGAGTTTTTCCTGTGAGCCCAGGACTTTTCCACTCATTTCCTATTATCCCTTTCCAACGTGATAATGTTTCCAGCTATACATTCTCTAAAGACCAGCCTAACTTCTCAGTATATTTGTCAATCATACATCTGTTTACTCGTTGATTATACACACTCCCAAACGAAGAGTAGCAAAGAACAGCTCACTACTGAGATACTCTTCCCAAAGCATGCCTACTTTGCATATACTTCCCCACAATAGGGAAAATCCAATGTCCACTGCCACAGATAATGTTACTTAACTGAAACAGGCACCTGTCAAGATAACCTCTGTGGGGAAACGTTCCTTTCAGTTAAGGTTTGTTGTTTTGTTTTTATTTTTATTTCCCCTGTAGGTTTACAAATTTGAAAAAGGTAAAAAGGCTATCAGTGCACGTGTTATTAGAGGATTATCTACCCTAAAGATTCTTACACAAATCAAATTTAACCAGCACTTAAGAATGCCAGCCCAACATGATCAACAAACAGAAACAAACACAGAAAAAAGTGTGGGTAAGGATAATTTCGCAAAGGAAACAAGACAGAAGTATGGAATATATCCAGTCACTCTAGTACGCACCCAGTACTTTTCAAACAGATGGGGAAGAAAAGAACAAGAGCCACCACTTTTATTTGGAACTCATTCTTTTTTTTTTTTTTTAATTATTTTTCTTACCTGCAGCTTGAAAGACAGTTCATGCTTCAGGGCCCTGAGATCATCCAGTTGCTGTCTGAGTGCCACCAGTGCATCTTGCTTCTCGCAGACATCTTTCTCCAGCATCTTCATGGCTAACTCCATCTCCTGTCTCATCCCAATCTGTGCCTCCAGTTCCTTTTCCACATCCTGAAACACACAGCACAGTCAGTTTTCTTCCTCATCAACAATGTAACCACTTTTAACTGGTGTTTTAGCAATGAAGTCAACACCCCTAAGTGTGCTACACTGTTACAGCATGACATTACAGATTTGACATACCAGAAACAATTGAGGACAAAAAATTCACAATTTTAGTCCAACATTAAAGAGTGATTAAGTATGCATTCTCAGTAACTGAGTAACATTTCTGATAGTGGCAATAGCAGTACCTGCATGGGGGATGTAAAAACAATTGCACTGCCCATTTTGAGCCACAGAATTAACATCACTACCAACAAGACTGTCTCAGATCAAACTGAAGTAGACAGGCAGAAATGACAATAAGCCGCTGGTCCTGAAAAATAGCTGTCTGGCATGCAGGAATTACGTAAAAAAGCCAACTGTAGGGAGCTTCAACCTCACACTGTCCTTACCAGCCGCAGCTGAGTCTCCTCCTTTAACTGTTTTCGTGCCTCAGTCAGTGCCTGTCCATCTGCAGTTCTGTCTTTAGCGACCTAATTTAATGAAGAAACTTCATCAATGTAATGACAAACACTAACAATTCTCACATTGGCTGATCTGCTTATCCCACTTTTGAACCAAACCGTGCAACGATCTGAACACAGCGGCTCTATTCAGATAACGCAACATGCAGCTTGTAAGAAATCTGTTGCTCAGTGCAATTCAGTGCCTATAATAAAAATGGACAGACAGACCATTTTCAGACCTGAGATAATTGCTAAGTACGATTAGAAAAATCTCAGAAAAAATACCTTTCAGGTTTTAAAACTAAAACCAGATTCTATCATAGTTACCAATTTTCTCAGCAAATAAACTGAGAAAAGACTAACATATTTTATCATCCCATCCCTTTATTTCCAAAAGGTGTAGCATATCAGGTCAAAAAAGCAGACTCCTATTTCTGAGCTTTTTTGCCACATCTCAGTTAGATCACCCTTCCTCCAGTCTGTTCCGACATCTTCACCTGGCAAGCCATAAAGATGCCGTGTTAGTTTTCAGCTCTGCACATGTACAAGCTACCACCAGGCAGGATTTACTACGGTCAGCATCCATCTGTCACTCTCTGCAGAGGATCCACCTGGAGTCACCGTTACTTATTACAGGTTTTTTGTGACATGGATAAGGAAATTATAGCTCTTCAAAACAGCTACTCTATATAAAATTCTGCCCAACGGGTTCAGGTATCATTTGCATGTACTGACCTTACGATTGGACTCCAAGATGTAAGAACTTTCTTCTTTAACTCGTTCCATCTCTTCTTGCAGTGTAATAATCCTGTTGTTTGCAACAGCAAGCTGTGAACAAACAGAACATTAATATATTAAAAACATATTTAGCAGATTTTTTCTTCTCCAGACAGATTATCCTGTACTTGTTTGCTAACATTCCTAGTAAGAAAAAAAAAAAATTTCAAGTAAAAAAAAGACAATTTTAGCCCCTAACATAGGGACAGACTATCTGAAAAAGTATCAGCCATCAATGAAAATCTATGACACTGGTACTAGAGCAGTGACTTCCCGAACTACTTCTGTTTGTGTCTTTTAGTAACATTACTAAGTTCTCTAGGTCACTATGTCCTAGACTCTATATAATGTGTGGTTAATACAACTCAGTGCAAATCCTCATTTCAATAAAAACTAGCCCAACAGAAGCATGAGCCTTTGGTACAACTCTTGCCAAATACACAAACAGATATGACATGTGACACAGTTCATTAACTATTTCATCCTGCAAACAGCTCCAGTTGGCACAGCAAGTCCCAGTGTCGATTTAATTCTTAATTTGAACTGCATGCAGACTTGACAAAGAGAAAAGCAAGCTACTAAAAACATATAGATCAATAAATACCTCAAGTCAACACTGTAATCAGTCTCATGGGTATCATGATTAGTGGACAAAGCATTCAAATATGGACGGTAATAAATCAAAAGCAATTTATTGTATCAGCACCAAGAAACACAGCCTACTCTAAGACACCTTTCAAAAACTAAAATTATCCTTTTAAATCACAAAAAAACCCCTTTTTTACTTTACCTGCAAGAGTACATATGCTAACCTGCCAGTAAAGTTTCCCATCATTTGGAACACATCCTTTAGAGAAGGTGTTACAGAACCAGACACACACTTTTCTCTGATGAGAGTGAATAAGCAAAAAAGAATTTCTATTTCATGTTTGTACTGCCAGAGCCCTGAGTTGTCCTAATCAAAATCATTCTGCTGAGCAAAGTGACATTCTGACACAGACACCGTCAAACCTTTAGGACAACACTTACTATTATCACTCGTGACCTAAAAATTATTTTATTACATTTATGCCATTACTGATGGATTGCAAGACCAATTTTAAGACACAGGTTACACCTACAACTCACGTACCAATGCCTTTCCATGCTCAGAGTGAACAACGTTTTTATATTTTATTCCTTGCAAATTTTGACAGACTAGAGGAAAACTCATTGATGCATGCAAGATAATATCAACACAGTAGTAAACTTCTGCATCTGTCAAAATAAACAGAAGTTTAGAAATGTCTCTGCCCCAACCTACCTCAGCTGTATGGCAATTCAAGACACGTCCATTGTGTAATTCATTTTAAGATATTTTCCACAAAATAGAAAACATTCAGAAGACTTCAGAAGGAAAAAAGTGGATTCATCAGCTTTTGATTTTGAGCATAAGCATTTGGCTGTTTTCCATCTCACATTTAGTTAGTGGCAGCTAACTGAATTCTCAGCAGTTCAGTTATTCCTGTTTCATCTTTAAAAAGACATCAGAATGTACACCAGAATTCTGAAAATAAATCCTCCCTTTATCTTTTCAATTTCTAATTCAAAAAGGCCAGAACATCAGGTGCTTCCCTATCACACTTACCTCCTCAGTCAATTTAGTGTTGGACTTTTCTAAGGCGTCCACTTTGGCCTGCAGGTTGTTTACTGTAGCACTGTTGAAGAGGAAAAAAAAAAAAAAACAAAAAACAACAGAAACCACATCAGTAATTCCTTCTTTTTTAAAAGCCTGCTTCCTATTGTTCAGTCCCACATAACAAAAAATAAATAAATCGTGTATTACCTTAAGTGCCTATTGAGTTCTTCTACATAATTCTTCTGGTCCAAAATAGCAGTTATCTGACCATCTCTGGAAAAAAGAAATACCCTCAACTCAGCCTGAGTGTAGCCTTTCATACCTACAAATGCTGACTGTGTGGTGCATTTCTGAAGCTCCCATGCAGACTGGAAGGCCTTCTCCACCATATAAAAAGATTATAAGACAGAGATGAGTCAACTCCAAGTTATTCAGCTTACTTTTACCTCCACATTCCCCACCCTGATTGTCCTGCATGGGTTTCTGGCCCATACTATGCAGCATAACAGAGGCAAGCCGTCACTCTAAATACTTATGCAGCATTAAAGGCTACAAAAGGAAGAAATAGCATAATTTTTCTTTGACTTCAAACTTCAATATCTGAATTAATAGATGTAAAGAGATGATGTAAAAGGTTTAAGAGGAAATGTGTCTGTACAGCTAACGTATCCACCAAGGCACCAAATGTCCTAAGACCGGATGAGTCTATGTGTTGAGTGTGAAACAGCAAAGCTGAGTTGCAGTCTATGCCCTTCTCATCAGTTACTGTCCTCCAACTTCTCAGAAGCTGCAATTACTACATTCAGGGATTCTGTGACACATTAAAAGAATAATTAAGCTGGACAACGTTCCAGTCATTACAACAGTACTTAAAAAGACTGGTTTTGAACCATATTTATATTGAAGAGGGACTACTTCACCAAATTCAATTCAAAGAAAGCTGTCAACAAACGTGTATTTTGCATACTCTTACAGCAGGAAATCCTAACTAAATAAAAGCTCTATAAATGCATTTATTTCATCTGTAGTTTCAACCAAAACATCTGATATTGAGGTATAATAATTCAAAATATATCTGAATGTGAAGTGGCAGAATTTCTTGAGAAGAAGAAATACTCTTGAAAGCCTCAGAAAAATCACAATACATGATCTGTGTGTCAGCATATCCACACTTTATTTTTCACCCTCTTGCTCTAAATGTTGCATAGCATTTATGTATGCTGACACAAGCACTCTGAATTATTATTACAATTACAGTCATCTCCAACAGCAGAATTTATTTCTGAAGATGCTATGGTGCTAAAAACCAACTCCTGTCCTATGATACACAACAGGTAAAAGTCACCAAGCTGCTTACCGAAAATGCTTTCAAGAATGGCAAATTTAACTCAAAGAGTCACTTTTAAAGTATTTTCATCTTAAATGGCAGGGAGACTTTCCTCAGTCCTTCTACCTCCCATCACTTCCAATGTATTATTTACACATTTGCACTTACAAATATGAGCAATTTGTTCTCTATGAAAAACAAACCCTGAAGTGTTTTAGTGAAAAACTTAATAGCTTGCAGGTTAACTCAAGATACTTGAAAACAAGTCATCAAGAGATGAGCAGGACAGTTGTACACGTGCTTACCCTTCACTGCCTTTTGTGCTGTTTCCATCTTTCAAATACATTGAGAAATCAATAACTCCAACCTAGGAGAAAAAAAAAATTGCATTTTAAATTAAACACTTTTGATATGACTAAACACTGTTCATAGCTGTGAAAGTTTAACTGTCATTCAGTTAAAACATCAATACATACTGTGTCACAAGGATTCATTATACTACTAATCTAGCCAAAATGGAGGAAAACATGAACCAGTTCAAGCAAAAATATGCTATGAGAGAAAGCAAATTGGCAAAAAAAACTTCAGAGGTAACAGTAAGTTGAATTGTTACAATTTAAGTAAGTAGAAAAAACATTAACTGAACACTACTCACCTGTGAATCCAGGTCTTCTCCTTTCATGCAGAAGTTTGCATCAATGACATTCAAACCTACGAGGAGGCCAGCAATGATCGCACCTTCTTCTTCCATCATCAGTGCATTAGGCTCATAAAATTCACTACAGGATGGACAATGAGAGAAAAGAAGCTTTGCATCTTTTAAAAATCAACCAGAACAATGACAACTAGCAATGCATGCCCTCGTATTTCACAGAATGCAATGCAAAGTTCAGGCTTAATGAAAAGCCAGGCAACAATAATTGACATAATTCACACAGAAGCGTACTGCTGCTCTAACCAAACATCTCTCAGCACTGTATAGCTGTAGGTGACACAAAGACCCATTAGAGGAGATCCGGACTCTCGGCTGTTAAATGGTGATGCAAAAAAAGCATAAACACTGAATAGCAGTTCAGCGCAGTGAAAATTCAAGACTAGGCTTAATATTGGAGTTTTATTAATAAGCAATACTTTCGCTACTCCACTAAATGCTTCTTAAACACAAGCTGCCACATTTTCCAGAGGAAAGTAAATTGCAAAGTAGGCTACAGATTTTCACAGTCAATAAAGACCTATTTCTGAGTAAAGAAACACCAACATATTTATCAAGTTCTACTAGTTCACATAAACATAGCAGTTCAAACCTGCGGACTCGTAATTACTCTACATAGTTAGTGCTATTTTTATGAGCGGGGAAGTAGAAAGACAGAGACTGATTGACTTGCTCCAAGTAAGATGGTGATAAAGTGACAAGATCAGAAATAAAACTACAGCCAAGATCACGTGAACAGAGAATGCTGTATTGGTCTGCAAGAGTTTTTCAACTGAACTGCCTCTTTGGACACAAAATTTGTTCTAATAGATACTTGAGACACTAAGGGTGGAAATGCTGCCTCTCCTAGATACAGAAAGAATATTCAGTATTTTTACTCTCTGAGATGAAACTGTGTTTCACAAACATTACCACTTCTGTGGAGACATGCATGTATCCTTCCCATTTGGATGCAAAACTTCTTCAAAAGATCTTAGAGGGTAGAAGTGAACCTTTCCCAATCTGAGAGAGAGTTCAAGGCTCACCTGAGAAGATCCTTTCTGTTAATCAAGGCTTTCATGTACTCTGAAAGTTTCTTCTGCATTAGAGCAAGGCGAAGCCAAGCTCTTCCTCTACCCACAGGTGTCCTACAAAGGCCAAAACCAACACAATTACACATGTACTGTAATGCACACTCACAAATGACATTAATAACCCTACTTGGTTTCAAGTTTCTGTACCTTAAAATAGAGCTGATGTTGTTGAAGAGAGGGATATACCAGATGTGTAAGCATAAATAGTTACAGACAGGATTATCATATAACCTTAGAATGGTTTGGTTTTGAACAGACCTTCAGAGAGCATTTAGCAAGTAATTATCTAAGCAACTATTCCTTCTCTCATAACTAATTATATATTTGTTACCACACTAAGAATATTTTCCTGACTTTACCCTTGCTGGATGCTACTGCACAGAAATCAGTTGCTTCAATAAATCACCTTTTAACTCAAATTCAATTTTTGCAAGTCAGCAGAACACGTGTACACTTCAGCTCAGTGCTAATGTCCAAATATCACTCCTTTGAGTGTGTTAAGCCTACTAGGAATCTGTAAAGACAACTAAAAGCATAAATTCGCTGCTGTTCAAGTATTTTGCTCATAATACATTCATGGGATCCAACAGGGTATGGCCTTTGCTTCTCCAGACCACTTTAGACACATAGCTTTAAAAATACTGAGAACTGATATGACGCATCACTGTTCCGGCTCATCCACCCTGACATAGTGGCTGGGAGCCAGAACCAGATGCTCCAAAGGAAGGTATAAATCCCCTATGCTGAGCAGAGCTCCGAATAGAAAGAAATTTCTTTTCCATCTCCAGCAGTCAGTTGTCTTAGGGCAAATAGTATGTAAAGCATTTTAGTTTTCAGTCTTAACTAGTATATGCAGCAATTGCACATGGAAATTATCTTCATCATTCCCCTTTATGGTCTTGACCTCAACTAACACATGACATTTTGTTTTTCAAAGGGTTAGTAAGTGTATGTAAGACTGTTTTTCAGAGAATTATTCAAAAACCATCTTTTATTTTACCACAGAATTGTAGAGGTTGGAAGGGACCTCCAGAGATCATCGAGTCCAACCCCCCTGCCAAAGCAGGTTCCCTACAGCAGGTCGCACAGGTAGGCATCCAGGCAGGTCTTGAACATCTCCAGAGAAGGAGACTCCACCACCTCCCTGGGCAGCCTGTTCCAGTGCTCCGTCACCTCACTGTAAAGAAGATCCTGAGCACATTTGTGCAGAACTTCCTATGCTGCAGTTTCTGGCTGTTACCCCTTGTCCTGTCTCCACACACTGCTGAAAAGAGTCCGGCCTTGTCACTCTGGCCCCCACATCTTAGATATTTATAGACCTGGATCAGGTCCCCTCTCAGTCTTCTTTTCTCAAGGCTGAACAAACCCAGTTCACTCAGCCTTTCTTCATAGCAGAGATGCTCCAGGCCCTTCACCATCTCTGTGGCCCTCCGCTGGACTCTTTCCAAGAGATCCCTGTCTTTTTTGTACTGGGGAGCCCAGAACTGGACGCAGTACTCCAGATGAGGCCTTACCAGAGCAGAGTAGAGGGTGAGGATCACCTCCCTCGACCTGCTGGCCACGCTCTTTTTAATGCATCCCAGGATGCCATTGGCCCTCTTGGCCACAAGGGCACACTGCTGGCTCATGGCCAACCTGTCATCCACCAGGACACCTAGGTCCCTTTCCGCAGAGCTCCCCTCCAGCAGCTCATCCCCCAACCTGTACTGATGCATGGAATTATTCCTCCCCAGACGCAAGACTCTACACGTGCTTTTGTTAAACCTCATCTGGTTTCTTACTGCCCAGCTCTCCAGCCTGTCCAGGTCTCGCTATGTCATGCTTCAGTACTCTTCTACAAGAAAAGCCAGGAGCTGTGACGTGACTCTCCTAGCACTCCGTGCTGGTCTCTAAGCTGTTCCAGACAGATTTCTATGTAGTCCACCACTAACAGCACTTTTCCAAAGGTACATCATTAAACAATGAACTGAAATAAGCTGTTATCAAATGTATTCGCCTTTTTTTTTGGGCAAAGATTTGATGTTTAGTCCTGTCATTCATACAATGCATCCTCAAATCTTTTTTCCTTTTGCTAGGCTGAAAGCCCTCATCATACTAACAATTCTTCAGCAATGAACTAAGCAAGTCTGAACATGATGTCTAAAACGACTATGCTTTTTTTTTTTTTTTTTTTTTTTTTTAGAAACAACATATCCTCACACAGGCTTTCTCTCTCCTCTTCAGCAAAAGTCAGTATCTTCTCCACTCTATGAGATTCTCTTTTACACAAACTCTACAGGTTTATCGAAATATATTTTAAAAGAAAAACTACCTCTATCAGGCTCAAATGCATGTAATCTGTAATCACCTCCCTTCCAAGTCCCTTTCTCTTCAGCATAGCTTCAGAAGGTGAGTTGGTAAAGGCTCACTCCATTACTAAGACCTACTGTCATTCATTTAGTGCTAGCAATATATTTGCTTTTGTCCATATGACCTTTTAATACAGAAAGAATGTACTCTTCTTTTCCTTCTGCAGTTTCTTAACTAAGGGAAAAAAGAAAAAAAAAGAAAAAAAAAAAAAGAGTAATGCACCATTTGTATAAACAGCAAGCAGCAGGTGGATTCCGGAATATCAGGGTTGTCCTCCCTTCTCTTCTTCAGGATCACTCTTACAACAAAAAGTAAGGTATTAAGCACACTTGCGCAGTAAAAGAATGTACTTACTTCAGACCTGGGAGATCCTTAACACTTGCTGTAATCTCTGCAGCTTCAGGAACAAGTTTTTCTACTAGTTCTAAAGGTCCCCAGAATGACTTATTTTGCCCAAGAAAAGTCTTTTTAGCTAAAAAAAAGAAAATACATAAAATTAGCCCATTGAGCCTGTGTTAATTATTTATATAATTATTTATATTCTCAAACATGATCAGAAGATCCGAACAGTTGACAGAGAGCCTACTGGCACTGCTACTGAGCAAGTACAAAAGATTACTTCTCATACCCAAAAGTGGCAATTACTAATATCATTCAAATAAAGCAATAAGGGCTTGATGTACATACCAAAGGTAGTTTTATACAAGCTAAATATTGCAAGACAACATCCAGTTATATCCAGCAACCGAGATTCACTGTGAGAGGCAAAGATTTCTCCTAGGATGTTGCCACTGTTTCTGAGTCATAGCCCACATGTGCACGGTAATTTTCCTTCACCATTACATTTCAAGGAAAAGAACCACAACACTTAGAATCTAACTCCTCTATAGTTTCCAGGGACTCTTCTGGAGGAGGAAAGGATGCATAGAGGTTTCTAGTGACTCCTATATTTTAAAACTAGAAACTAATTTGCAGAAGTAAGGAATCTGAGAACTCAGCTAACTTAAAACCAGCAGTAGTGACATCAGCAAGAGGACAGATAAACAACCAAAGCTGAACAGTATGAACACCTCTTCCTTGCACAAATAACCAGCACAGGAATCATTTTGCCCATGTGCACTTTGCCCACAGTGCTGAACGAAGCCTTTTAAAAAAACACCACAGGAAGTATGTGCCGAGAGGAAATTTAACATCCCCCACTTTTCATCTCGAGGAAAGGGCAGCAAATCAAGAAAACCAGCAGTCCTTAGCAGTTGCAGTTGTAACTCTGTGTTTCATAGTTAAATATACGCTCTGCTTGCCATTTTAAAAAGCAGCTTAAAAGGTAATAGCTGCAGTAAGTCAAAATCCTCAATTTTGATAGAACTAAGCAGTGCTGCAGATGCTCTTCCAGCAAAAGATGCATTGCCTCTCTGAGGAAGCACAGAAAAAATGGAGTCACAAGTCTGCTGAGGAGGCAGCTTTAGCCTTGATGACTTAGTTATACTAGAGCCACATCTGAAATGCTGTTTTAAAAGTGACAAGCAACTGTAACAATGGAACTTTTCACCTGCAGCATTATACCTTCAGCAAATTTTCTCCTTTTTCTGTGCCCTGTCAAGTCACCTGTGATCAAAGACACCCTGCTCAACCTCTGCTGAATACCAAGCCAGACTTTTAAAACTATATTGCTCTCCTGCTCCTATGCTATGACAAACAGGCCAGGAGTGCCCCTCTCAAGTAAGTTTACCTTTCAAGCCATGTTTAAGGCAATGCTCCATCACAACGAAGAACTGCTGAAGAGGTGCATAGTCAGAGTCCAGCGTCCTGCCCAGATTAAGTGCTGATTCGATCAACCCCTTGATACTCAGTTTTGCCATGTTCATCAGGTTCATGCGTTCATTAGCCATGAGATAATTAGGATCTATAGAAAACAAGAAAAATACAGCTGAGTAACAAAAGTTTTATTACAATAAGATATGCCATCTCTCTTTTCATCTCAGTACTGAAGACACTTTTTAGCGGCAGTGATAGTTTGATGAGAGGTGCTCTCTTCAGACTTTTCCAGAAAAATCAAAATGAAGTAGCACCTTATGATGAAAGCCACATTGGTACAGGACTATGTGATAGTTTAAGAATTGAGAAACTCTTAAATTAACTAAAAAATCCTTCATTTTTCAAGAAAGAACAGTTTGAAGGCTGACATTAATATTGTGCTTTACATCTTGACAATGTATTCCTGAATGCTACAGCTGTCACTTTCCCAGCTCAAAGCCCTGGCTACATCCAGCAACTACAACTCCATAAGAATTCTGCAGCTGTGACTTGTTCTTCACTCTAAAGACAAGCATGAATCCTCTCACACTTAGTCTATCAATGATCTTTTTTTCCCAGTGTTTCATCTTTCATGAGTTATTTAAGTTTTAATATTACAGAGCCAATTCCCATCTCTCTCTTCATTGTGTTTACCTATTTTAATAGCAATAATAAGGAGCATGGCTCCTTTGGCAGCTTGCTTTCACATCCACCACACACAGACCTTCCTCAAGACTATATTCTCCCTCTAACATTTTATACAAACTCAGACATTTATACTCATTATCTGTTTCTCATTGCAAGAGATTAGCACTCATTTTCCAAAGCACACCCTACGTACAGAACCACAGAATGGCCTGGATTGAAAAGGATCACAATGATCATCTAGTTTCAAGCCCCCTGCTATGGGCAGGGTAGGCCTCCTGCTCCCTGACCTGTCTCAAGTACAGTACAACGCACTGATGCCCAGACACAACCTGAGTGCCTCTCTTCCCAGAGGCCTTCAATTCACTTACAACACCTGAAGATACAATCTCACAAGAGCACTGGTCCTGTAACCACAGTGAAATTGTCCTACATCTACAAAGAGTGCTTAAGCTTTAGGCCTACAGACAAACAGTAAGAGAGACAAATCCTCCCTGTTAAAAGTATAGTGCCATATAAGCTGCAGATTTTCTGTCTGCATCTGTTCCATATGCAATCTTGCACCCAGTTCTTCAGCTAAAGTTCCTTGGCACAAGTAGCTCCATCTTTGTAAGGGATGTTTATTCTAGGGCTGCTGTAAACAGCTGCATAATGGTAAACAAATTTACCAGCTTTACCAGTGAGTTTATTACACTCAGTAGAAGAAAATATGACCCTAAGACATCTAAGGATGGATGCATACCCAGTGCTTAGATATATCATTCGCTGTATTGACAAAGCATGCTTGCATTTAGCAAGCAATTAAAGCAGATACCCAAGCCTTACACCCTTCAATTAGAAGGACTTCCAAAAGGGAGCTGTATTTGTATTTAAATAAATAAAAAAAAAAGCCATGAAAATTACTACTAAGCTAAGCAGCGGAAGAATTTGCATGGCTGTTCCTGCAGTCTCTGCAGACTATTACCAAGCAGACCTGCCCTTTAGGGCATTCTCAAGCTCCTTATGACTGCTCAGATACCCTAATTCTTTAATGCACAAATAGCTTAGATAGGTTCTTACGCCTCACTCTGAAACATCCAGCATTGCTGAGAAGGAAATGCAACTCCCATCCTCAAAGTAAACTCTTGCAGATGTGCATGCTTGTCTGCAGTACATTTGCCACTGAGCAGGTATCAAATCTCTACCAGATACATAGACTTAAGGCAACTGGGTTGGTCACATAACCCCTTGTATACAGAAGTGTGAAGATTTGATTTCTCTTAATTTAAAATACAACTATTTAGTCAAAAGAGACCATGGGGTATATTTTTTCCAGAATATTGCAATCTCCCACAGGACTTGTCCTGCTGATGAAAGCCATCACTCTGCTTCACTGGTACTGATGACACCAGTTGCTCAGACACGGGTGAACACAACCTCTTTGCTATCTCCAATGTACTTTCACTGCAGTGAGGCATCCACCAGCCAAAGACAATATGAGGAGCAAGCCCTCACAGAAGCACTCAGCTATTAGAAATCATATCAACTCACTTTCAGTTTTGTTCACATCCTGCAGGTTGAAACAGGCCCAGTAACCCAAAGCCAACTTAATTTTAGTGATCTAAAACTGTATCCAAAACAAGCAACGAGAACTGTAGCAGCCATTGCCTGACTGAGACTTCCTATGCTAGAAAAAAGGACATGATGAAAGGCACTTCAGGGTTAGCAGAAGAAAAGCAACTACACAAGTGGAGACAAAACCTCCCCCTGAAAAAATATGAAAGGAGATCAAAACACAGCATTTGTGAAATCTGGTAACAAACAAAACCTGGAAACAAGTGAAATCTGCCTCTGCAGCATTCCACGTTCCAGTGCCCATGGGCCTAAAAGCTAACTGGCACCCAAGGTGGTGATGGCCCATTATTGCTGCATTGTTTTTGATGGTCTGTCCACCAGTGGATTGGTTGTTTTTATCCAGGATGCTGACGGCTCAAAGAAATACTCTGTGGCATCGCTCTAGCAACACTCTTATACCCTAACTATTACAGTTAAGGGCTGTAAAAAAATCCAGTTCAGGGAGACTGGTTGTGAGAGCTGCCACCACTCAAACTCGATACCATGGCTGCTTTTGCTCCATCCCTCAGAAGCATGTAGGGCAAGGCCAGTCTTCTCACCTTGCTTCTCCTGGATGAAGCAGTACCCCAAGTCTCCTCTAAATTTCACCAGAACCATCCTGGCAGCTCCTGCACTGAGAAGCTCAAGGAGGGAAGACATGAAGAACAGGAAACATACCAACAGTGCTGAGCAATGCGAACTGGAATTGTCATTGATCAACAGCTATCACTGTAATCTCACTTCAGACCACGCCTGCTGCCATGGAGGAGCGTATCTAAACAGAGAAGCCTCTAAACAGAGAAGTATCAGACAAGTTCAGTTGTTCCTGTGTGCATCCATAACGGTTGCCTTCTAAAAGCACGATCCAGCATTTGATCCTATCACAGACACAAAATTATGCTCTGTGTTGGTACCATGATTCAAAATCCACTTAGAATGAGCTCCTCTATTAAAAACCAGCCAGCTTCCTCCTCCAGTACTTCTGTCAGTTTTACTCTACCTACAGCATGCCTATGCTTCTGACCAGGCAGATAAACCAGCAAAAAAAATCTCTTACCTGAGACACTTTTCACGTGTGCCCACAAAGGAATATGGTAATGAGGTAAAAGAAAACAACAGGTTTATTATTTAAATACATTTTGAGATCTAGGGTGAAAATTATCGCTTGCCCTGCCAGGTTTTAAAGAACAGCTCCTATGCACGAGCACACAGTGCAAACCACTCTCAGTAATGAGATGAGAGCATTTAACCTTAACACAGCTAACCGTTAAGTATGACTAGAGCTTAAATCTCATCAATAATAACAGCTTCTAATTCTCATTCCCTATTGGGGGAATGGCAAGATACAGAAAGATGGAAAGACCTTTATCTTTTTTTATCAGTGCTTCTCCCCCTGTAATAACAGCCCTGCTGCAGCACAGAGCTGTGGGAGCAATTCATTGATCTCACCAGTAGCAAGGCAGGTGTCCAAAGGGATTCTGCTTAAGTAGCAAATCGGTCATAAACACAAAACTAAGGAAACTGTACAAGATAGAGTATAATTTTCTACATAGCTATGCTATATGGATAGATTCCAAGAAGACTGCTTCTGAATTAGGATGCTGCTCCATTAACATAACTCACAGGGAACTATATACTTTTCCTCCAGTGTTGAGAGCTGCTGCCTTCTGCAGACTTACACTAAGGTTAAAATTATTTCGAGGCAAGATGTACGGCTATCTGCAGGTCAAAGGTCTGTGACTGCCACATATCAACTGGGGTCAATGCAACACTAATTTAAAAAGAGAAAGAAAAAATGGATGTGTGTATTTTCAAGACAAACAGATACCTTAAAGGACAAGAGCTAATGAACATGAGAGAATTAAAGTACTCATTTAAAGAAGGGAAAAGCAGGGCTATATGTTCATTTAATACTTAAGTGTGCAGTCATGGTCTGAAGAACTAACATATCATTTCACTGAAAGATGTTTTAATCACATTAACAAAATAAAGACTGCTTCTTCATCAGTATGTTGTGAATGATGGCACTCTGCGTATGAAGCTGAAACCCTGCCCACAGCACAGGGTTGGAAAGAGGTGACCTTCAAGGCCCCTTCCAACCCAAACAATTCCACGATTAACTATGATAATATCTCAAAGACATACTCAAAATCTAAAATCCTAAATAACATATATCCTTGTTGTATGTGCTACAATGTACACAATCTCAAAATTGAGTATGAAAAAGCAGAGTAAGCAAGCAAAGATGACTTTCCCACAGCAAAACTGTCCAGAATAACTCAGCCATCTTCTTCTTCAACAGACATCAAGTGCAACTGACACCCCATTGAGATTCCCAGCCTGTGCTAGCATCTCCCCCAACTTTCTGTCTTGAACTGCAAAAAGCTCAGTCTGTATTCTACCATAAATGCCATGCTGTAAACATTAAGAGTAAAACCTTGGCCCTTACACTTTGTCTTTCAATGTCTTTTGGATTTCAGTTCAAGTAATCTTAAGTTTGAGACAATATTGCTATTTAAAAATTGCAGCTTCTAGATGATGGACACTTTTGCTAACCAGCAATCTTGAACGTGATCACATGCAACTGGGCTTGCAATCCATTAAAACGATAGGTGTTAAATAATGAGATGATCCTGTTGTTTCCCTAAAATACCAAATTCACAGGTTGCTGAAGATGTAAAACTGTGCCACAATCATTCACATGCAAACAGCATGAAAAGCAAATATTCCTGAGAATTTTCCATGAACAACCTTTCAAATCATCTAAGAATCAAAGGAACCCTGTAAAAATCACAGAAACGTAAGGTTGGAAAGACCACTAAGATCACATAATCCATAGGTGTCCAACCTTCCAGCTTGCCTGGGCTGCAT